GTGGGGAGGGGGGAGAGAGAGAGAGAGAGAGAGTGGGAGGCCGAGCGAGAGGGGCCATTGCGTCTCGTTTCAGAGCGTATCCTTCGGGAATACCTACCGGGTGAGCCCGCAGGATTCCGCGGATGGGCTTCGTTTGGGAAACCTGTTTCGGTTAAGGGAGTTTGTGCGCGTTGTTTCGAGTTTGTCCAAGCTTTTTTATCGATCATTTTCATCTCTCACAAGATGGGAGAACGTTGATAGAATAATTTTGACGTTTTGTATTGTAATTTTTTTAATCTTTCGTTTTTGAGGGATTGATTGTTAAAATTTTTTATTGTGAACGTAGAAGAAGTAGAAGTTTTTTTTTTTTTTTGACTTGAATCGTATTTTGGAAAGATTTTATTTCTGAGAAATTTATAGGTTAATTATTGTTAGAATTTCATTGAATATGAAATTACATATGCGTATGAGATGGAGGTATTGTGTTCATTCGATTATTTGATTTTAATAAAATATTAATTAGGCCGGCAATATTGTAAAATGATGTAATTACGATTAAATATCTAGATTATAAATAATTAATAAATAATTAATGAACAACGTATTTCGACTATCAAACGTCAAGTTTCTTCTTCAACAATTGTTAATGATCGATGATAGAAACTTTCCATTTATGCTACAATGTCTCGTTTCGTGACGTGAGTCGTTATTTGATGTTATTTGATTGAATACGTCACTTATACGTCATTTCCGTTTATGACCACGTTGAAATTGTAGTCATCATGCACATTTGCAAGATTACATGTAATAGTGGAAGCGTAATAATGGAACAGTAGAGTAAAAACGCACGTCACACATTTATATGTTACGAAAATGTAACAAAATTATATTAGATCTTTTTTTAACAATCTTCAATCAAAAACTATATTATTATATACTTTGTATAGAGCATTAATGTACCTTCTTTTTTCGTTTCTTTTTCCCAAAAAGAAGAAAATAGGACGGGGAATTTATGGAAATGAAGAGAAATGCTCTTAAGAAAAGCGTTAAAGCTCCCTCCCCAAGTGGGTGTAACGTAACTGTCGCGATAATTAAATTGTTGACGATGGAAGCTGACTAACTCGTGATCTTTTTAGAAGTGGCTATTTATAACGAACTAACCAGAGGAAGAGGAAGTGACACTCCAATCTTCTTTTAAAATAATCACTTGTTCCTTAAATAAAAGTCTTATATATAATACCTTACCTTATATAATCTTCGTCCTTCGATCCCTCATTTTTGAGTAAAATTTCTTCCGAAAAATAGATTTTTCTAAGATACAAATTCTCCTCTACGTCGAGTAACTTTTGAAGGACTCTTATAATCTGTCAACAATCAAGATCGATCCTTTCCTTTGCATCTTTTCCTTCTTTATTATTTTCCTTCTTTCGTTTAGAACGGATACCAGGGGCAATTTCTAGGGAATCACCCGTTATATGCGTAGACCGATCTGTTCGCGTAATATTATAGTCCGGTGAACAGTAATCTGGGTTACGCCCTCCCCTCGATTCATAAGAACCACGCGTTAAAGTAGGAGAGAGCGTGATTTCTCTCCTACCTTCATTCTCCCTCTCCTCTTTCCACTCTTTCCACTTTTTCACGCTTTCTCCAGGGACTCTCTCTCTTTCTTTTCTTCCACCCTTATTTCCAACCTCTCTTTCTTTTTTCTTTTCTCCTCCCCCTTCTTTTATTCTCCTCCCGATTTTGTCTCCAAAACTTTTTCTTCGTGTTTTCCTTTTGATTCTAAACTGTTTACTTTTTGTCTTCTCTTCCCAAGGATCAATCTTCTTATCCTTTTCTTTAATTTTTCGACTTTTCATCGTCGATTCGATGTATTATGCTTTTCAAATATCTTTGTATCTCTATATTTTCAAAGATAGGAAGACGAGCAGGATAAAGGATATTTGCGCCTGTCCTCTCTTTCGAGTTTCGATCCCAACTCGTCGATTTTAAATCGAGAAAGAGAGAGAAAAAAAACAAAATTTTCCCAATTGATCCGGGATAATGCTGGCGAGTATTATTATCGTCAGCGGAATTTTTCCATATGGATCGGAATTTTTTCCAGAATCGAAATGGTGGAAATGGCGCGGCGAAACGAAATGTACAACGTTCGCAAGTAAGTTCGCAAACGAGCGCTCGTAAATCCAGAATTAAAGCGGGAAAGTAGAACACGAGGCGAGGAGATTACGAAGGAGAAAAAGGAGGGAGGGGAAAGTGGAGTAGAGCAGAGAGTAGAATGAAAAATTTCCCTCCGAGGAGGAGGAGGAGGAGGAGGAGGAGGTAAACAGAAGGCGGGGTTTCTTTTCTCCACGGCTAAATATCTAAGAGAAAAGAAAAGAAAGAAAAAATATGCCGGTGGAAAAAAAAAAAAGAAGGAGGAACAATTAGTGGGAAGAGAAAGAATCGTGGAGGTCCTTTTCTGAAAATTCTGAGTTATTACGAAGGGAAACAGGAGAGAATTTCCGTGGGGAGATAGGAAGGAAGGGAGGAAGGAAGGGGTGGGATGAGAAGGGCGAAGCGTCCGTGGGTGGCATGCAACAAGTTTGGACCATTTTCTTCGACTTCCCTTCGTACCATTCTCCTCGCGATGTTGTTCATTCTTCCATTACCCATGGATGACGGGGATTCATCCAGTGATGGAAAATGCAAATTGTTGAATATCTTTTTTTTCTAATTTTTTTTTTAAATCATCGCTTTTCGTACATTTTTTTCGAAAATTAATACGAGTCAATAAATCTTAACTTGCCTTTTCATTTCTCTCAAAGCTATCAAAGATTACACTTCAATTTTATCTTATAACATCTAAATATTTTAATAAAGAGGTGTATCGTTTGAATGAAAATTTTATTCCTCGTACATCGTATACGTATTATTATTAGCTTGATTCAATCAACATCGTTTAAATCAAAGATAGACGAAAAGAAGAGGAGGAGGAAGAAGAAGTGTTTCGTTCAAATTGTCTCGATAAATTCTAGTTTTTCGTACGATACCGGCCGTGAAACTTGAACGCCTCCCCATTTTTCCACTCACCGTGTCTTTTTATTTTCCAGGGAGTAGTGGGCCAACGATATTCGATGAATCAAGGTCGATCGAAGGGAAGGAAAGGAAGCAGAGAAGAAGCCATCGGGCCGGGATTCTGCCGTGACGCAGAAAAATCAAATTAAACAGCCGCTTTTAAGTCGAATTAAAACGAATGCGCTTAATTAAAGCGGCCTCCGCCGCTCAACTAAAGGAGTTTTATTGACAGCGACCGACTCTTCCTTTGTCGGCCCCCACTGTGTACCCTTTCATTATTACGTTAAAAGATGCCCTCGAATTTTTTTCTTTTAGTTTTTGCCGCAAATAACGCTGCATTTTTTTTCTCTCCGTCAAACACCGCGGCTTTATATTTTCTCTCTCTCTCTCTCTCTTCCTTTTTTTCCCCCCAGTTTTCCTCTCTACGAGTACGAAATGTTTCGTTTCTTTGTCATTTTTTTTCAGGGGTATTTCGAAGCGAGATTTTTGCTCTAGTCGTTTTTGCGGAAACGTGGATTCACGGCTCTTTTAACGAAAAGAAAAAAAAAAAAAAAATATTGCGAGTATAATCGCGCATCGAATTAATTTTCTCTTCTTCTTCTTCTTCTTCTTTTTTCTTTACTTCGTTTTTTTTCTTGGATGGAATTTATTTAAATTATCGTTCATCGTGAGATTTCCCTTGGAAGGGGAAAAGTTTAATTGGATTGGAAAATAAAGGATTTGTATCGTTCGATCACGATTTCTTTTTCGACTCGAAAGTTTATCATCTTCTATCCAAGATATATCTATAAGGTGTCATCTAAGAAGAGATTCTCAAAAATATCATACAACGCAATGATGCAAAGAAAACGATTTAAAAAAATTATTTTAAACCTTTTTTTCGTTTACAAAAAAATTACGATCCACGCGGCTCGATAAATCTGCTCATTAAATCCTAATAAACGATCTCATCCCCCCTCCTCCCCCCAGAGAATAATCCCCCCTCACTGCCGTATTCCATTGGCAAGTAGAAATTCCCCCCCCCCCCCCGGGAGAGCACCCCCCCCCCCCTCCCTTCCCCCCCCCCCCCCCCCTCCCCCCCCCCCAGAATAATCCCCCCTCACTGCCGTATTCCATTGGCAATTAGAAATTCCCACAGTGAACAGGGGAGAGGATTCACCCCCTGTTCCTTTCTCGCCCGGTATCCAACCCTCGATCCTTTTCCAACTTTCGCTCCTCCACCCTTTTTTTTCCGCGCCGCTCCTTTTTCGTTTCGATCGCCTCGGGAGAGAAAGAAGGCGCTCGGATGGATCGACGTTAACGCGACGAGCGAGAAGGAGAAATGACGTGTATTTAGCGCGGTGAAACCTCGGGCACCGTTAACGCGCGCTCGTCTTTGGCCGGCAAACGTGGTGTTCCGTTATGGCACCTTTTGTCACGGCTCTGCACCTTTTTCTGACCGATAAAAACCGTGACCCACCGCGATACCATCATTCGTTCGTTTTTAAGTTGGTATCGCAAATGTCAAAATTGTGTCCTCCCCCTCCCCGTATATTATATATTTTATTTTTTCGCTATTCCGTTTCGAAAAATGTTCTATGGAATGTAGACACGATGTACGAGCGAATCAAAATGTTCAAAGCAAACGTGACTTTATTTTACGCTTTGTACAAATTTGTATATAGTAAATATATGCAGTTTGGTGATTATAGATAATTTTTAGAATCTTAATTTCTTTGGGGAATGAAATATAGTATGGAATATGTAGTGAATCAAAATGTTCAAAGCAAATGTGTCTTTATTTTACGCTTTAAATTTGTATATAATAAATATATGCAGTGATTATTTAATTTTCGGAATTTTAATTTCTTTTGCAAAAATCGAATCGATGAATGTTCGATGTATGTAGAAGAATCTGCGTAATGGACATGGCAAAAATATCCAAAGATACATGAAAGGAATCTCTCTAACCTTTATTCATTCCATCGTATAAAAAATGATTGCAGATAGATTCAAATCTTCCATTCCTTTTCAAAATTCAAAATTTTTACATAAAATTCCAAATCTCGTATCATCGAAAGGAGGAGGAGAATAATTGTATAAAGAAAAAAATGATTGTAGGCAATTTAAATCTTCCATTCTTTTCCTTCAAAATTTTTACATAAAATTTCAAATCTCGTACCAACAATCATCGAAAGAAGGAGAAGAATAATTGTATAAAAAAAAAATGATTGCAGGCAAATTCAAATCTTCGATTCCTTTTCTTCAAAATTTTCACATAAAATTTCAAATCTCGTACCAACAATCATCGAAAGAAGGAAAAGAATAAAATGATTGCAGGCAAATTCAAATCTTCGATTCCTTTCCTTCAAAATTTTCACACAAAATTCCAAGTCTCATAGCAACGATCATCGAAAGAAGGAAAAGAATAATTGTATAAAAAAAAAAAATGATTGCAGGCAAATTCAAATCTTCGATTCCTTTCCTTCAAAATTTTCACACAAAATTCCAAGTCTCATAGCAACGATCATCGAAAGAAGGAAAAGAATAATTGTATAAAAAAAAAAAATGATTGCAGGCAAATTCAAATCTTCGATTCCTTTCCTTCAAAATTTTCACACAAAATTCCAAGTCTCATAGCAACGATCATCGAAAGAAGGAAAAGAATAAAATGATTGCAGGCAAATTCAAATCTTCGATTCCTTTCCTTCAAAATTTTCACACAAAATTCCAAGTCTCGTACCAATCGATCATCGAAAGGAGGACGAGAATTGGATAAAAAATGATCGCAGAAAAATCCAAAAATTCGAATCTTCGATTCCTCTCCTTAAAAATTTCCACACAAAATTCGGAGCCTCGTCGAAAAGAGGACGAGACTGGCCACCCTCCGTAATTTAACTCCTCGTGGAACAATGAGACGTCCACGTCGAAAACGGGGTTATTTAATACAGATATTTTTCATAAGTCAAGCATTGTGTGCAAATAACAGCGCGTAGTACGTGTGCATACTTACACGCTGAGAGGAATCGCTGATGGTTTGTTCACGCGGTTGACCGTCCGTAATTCGCAACGCGGTTGTGTATCCCCGCGAGGCGCGGCGCGTGTTAATAAATCTCGTGAGATCACGGCCG